ACACCATAAATGCTTTTGTTAATACAAAGAGCTTTTAACAAGTATAAAACTCATGCAATTCTCATACATTAACCATTTTGTACTGTACGGAGCATAAGGGACGTTTTCACTAAAATTGCATAGTTTTTCCATAACACTATATTCACTACACTATACATGCAAACTATAATCGGTATAGTTTGGGATTTTCTAAAAAACATATCAAGTACGGAAACTTTCACTACTAAACGTATGCACTAGTACAGAAATGGTTTACAGTTACATCACTGCATTATCATGGTATTCATAACTGTAACATTCACTACATACGGTATACATACGGATTTTCACTACGATAAAACGCTATGACACTACATGTAAACTAGATTGTACGATACTGTGAGGCGCTACTTCACTACTGTACCCTTAGGTGTACAGGGATAAATCCTATAATAGTATAACCAGAGTCTCCTGGAGGGAGAGCGTGAGATTTGTGAATAGATCTATTCGGGACTGACAATCCCACACCCGAACTGCTAGCTACAGTTGGGCAGGCATGCCTGGGGTGACAAATGTCATTTAACTCAACGCCTGAAGAACGTTGGAAAGTCACTAGTCATATCAAGCATGGTTATACGACTCACATTATGTATAAATCACCTTTAGTTTACAACCTGGCACTCTTCAACAGTTTTATTTTTACTAAATAGAACTGATACACACTACGTATACTGGCTAAAGCCAGGGTTTTCAAACAGAACCGATTATGCAATGGTTTCACATACAAAATACCTATACTTCATGATTAGCTTTAGCTGGTCAAATGAGGTAGTATTTTCGCATAACACTACGGTTTTCAGTAACGAACATTCATGGTTCTCTACGGATTCGATAACACTACTCTTTCACTAAAGAAAATATCGGATTTTCTTGGAAACATACAGACATTCATGGTTCATTACAAGACTTATAACACTACGTTTTCACTAAAGAAAATATCGGATTTTCTTGAAACTATACAAACATTTCTACTAGCTCCTCAACAAGTTTTCATTACAAACTACTGCTTATGAACTCACCAGCTTTATGCTGATATTTCAAACTGCTTGTATTCTCAGGAAATCAGTAGACAGGTACCTGCTGGATTTTTGGGAAACTGGAAGCAATAAGAGTTTAAGCTGATATACATACGTACTATTTGATGTATTTCAAACAAGTTTCAGAAAATTTCCAAACTTTTGTAAACATTTTCATTTAAGTATTCATTGTAATGGTTACGTTTCTATGATTGCTATTATACATTGGTTGTGATGCTATACATGACGTCCTCCACCCCAGAACGTTTCCGCCATTTCGGTTTTGGGGTGTGACATACGCCTTGCGTACCAGTGTACACTCAGCGTACTCGTGCGAGACCAGATACGCCCAACGTACCTGCATGTACTCCTAACGTACCCATGCCACCCCTAAAAATACAAAAGATGCCATAAATGTCCACTTTGCAAACAATCATATACTAAGGGGGAAAAGCTAAATATCTGGAAGAACAAGATGTTACCCCCGCCCCCGAAATCTCTAGCCCCCCCCCCCCCCCCCCCCCCCCCCAGATTCCTCTTATTATCGCCGCCACCGTTTCCCCGCCCTCGATTGATTTTTGGCTACCTTTTTGGGCTAAAAGAATCTATTATTTTGGGTAACAAATATTTATTTATAACATAATTTTACATGTTACAAATAACTAAAAAATATGTTTTTTTGCAAAATTTTGGCAGGTAAAAAGCATGCTATTGTTTATTATATTTATATAATTAATATATATACATTTATAAAATTAAGTAACGGGGCCCCCATGGGGGTTTCGGGACGGAACTGCCTACCTCATCCCTGCCCCCAAAATTAAAATAGAGGTTTACCTTGCCCCCACCCCCGTCCCCGATTTATTTAAACAAATACACTATACGAGACGAGGGCCCCACGTGATTTTTTGACATCCCTATTGTCTAGAACCATTTTTTTTGTTTCTATCAAACTTTGAAATATGAAAATACAATGAGTATCCTTATTCTCATTTCTCTTCTTTTTTTCCTATGTTAAACTCTGAATCACAATATAAAAAATGAGTATTTTCCTTATTAGGTTTATAAATAATAACAATAATAATAATAACTTTAAAAAATGAGTTTTTTTTTTTTTTTTTTTTTTTTTTTTTTTTTTAAATACATATGGACGCCATATTAACCTCATGGATAAATGTCGGTCAAAGATGGTGTATATATTCATCATCTTAGTCACACTTTTGGTGTTATAACACCCAATGTGGAAATGAACAACATCAAATAACATGTGATAACACCTATCATTTTCTATTTCTTTATTTATTTATTTTTTGATGTTTTTAATTTTCTATTGTTCTAATTTGTTTTATTTTTTTTAATTTATGTCATAGTATTTATAAAAAACATATAAATTAAAAAAAACACAATTCAATTAACTACTAAATTAAACATACCATTTTAAAACTAAAAACGACATTACAAAGCAAAAAAAAACATTGACCAAAGGCATACGATAGTCCTAATAATGTAAAAAACTTAAAACCGATACACTATTCGTCATCCAAATATTTCCGCTCAATCTTTGCCTTCATTTTCGGAGCACTGCCGCTTATCTCGGTGTCATATTATCCTCGCTAGTTTGAAGAATTGTCAGATCCTTCGTTATGTGATCTTCCTCGGTTTCTCGACGAAGGAACTCCAAATGCTCACGTTGCAAGTCATATCTTTTCATTGTGATCTCGTTGTGGGTGTCAAATTTCTGTTTCAGTTCCGCCTGCTCTCGAAATTTAATTTCGCTTTCCTCCGCATGTCGTTGAGCCCGCCTCTCTTTGTCTCGCCCCATCGGTAGTCGCGGCGGGGATATCTCTTCGATGTCGTTGAGGTTGTCCGGTAGCTCATCTGTGTCTGTATTGAGGTCGATGTTCGTGTGTGCGTCCGAAACGTCGACCGAACCCGAGCCGCGAGACCTTTTGGATTGTTGTTCCAAAAATGTGTCCGTTTTAGTCCATTTTGGGTTGTCCTTAACAATCTCCCAAATCTTTCCGTGCTCGAAAACGTGACCCATCTCGACATGATATTTGTCCCTCACCGCTTTAAAAACATCAAAATCGGTCGACCACTTTTCTTGTGCGAGGAAAGTTTGTTGTCGATGAAATTGAACTTGGTGCACTTCTAGCTTATTTGAGTCCACTTGCTACTCAACATATCGTGATTGCGATAATTTTCATCCTTCTTCAAAATAGTCCGAAATTTGTCGATTACAACCCCAAAAAACAACTTTTCTCATATTGTTTTCCTTAGTTGTGTTTTTTGATGTCCCGCACCACGACACCGCCAACGCGTATTCTTCCTCTGCAGTCCACCATGTTAGAGGTTCTTCTTCCGATTGCTCCACCGCGACCGCTTTCCCTTTCTTTCTTGCTCTCCCTTTTGTGGCCGTTTTTCTCCGACTCACCCCCGCTTGCGTCTCGGCAACCATTTCTTGCATGGGTGGTGGTTGTGTGGTATTTTGTTGCATGTTAGGAAATGTGTTGAAAATGTTTTGTAGAAGGGTTGTAGGGAATTGTGGTAGGGGTGAGGCGGAATTGAAAAAGTTTCCAAAAAATGAAAGTTGTGGTGAGCTTTGCGAGTTGAGGATGTTCGTGTATGCCTCATATTGTGCAAAACCGAGAGGAGGGGATATTAGAGAAAAAGTGTTAGGGTTTTGATCCATAGTGAGTGAATGTGAAATTGTTTGGGTTGTATGAAATAAGATGAGAGAAATGGTTTGAATGTGTAGGTAAAAATTTGAAGTCATATGTTTTATTTATATTGGAGTTAAAATGGATTTTTTTTACTACGTGACCGTTTCACAATGGTTGAAAAAATGATCGTTCACTAGATGCAAGCCACCGTTTCTTCCTGTTTTACCATAACGCCTCCTAACGTAGCGGCCAAAAACGGGTATGGGGGCGGTGTTTCCGGCGTTATAACGCCGTTTTTTGGATGCCACCTCGGAATAACAGGGATACCTGTTGCCCGTTCCTAGTCCTCTCATTAATCCTTAATAAATTACTACTAATGCATTTGGGTTTATTATGTATGAGAAAATTTTGAAGAACGTTGATCGAAGGCATTTCCATAAGTACCTCAGGAAAGTCTCGACATAAAAATTATCTAAATGTTTTCTAGAATCATTTTTTCCAAAGTCATTCGGAAAACACTACAACTCATTTTCCAAATCCATTTGATTCCATTTTTTTTATCCAACATCTTTTTAACCTTAACTGAATCTTGGGTTTTATCAGATTCACTGACTAAATCTCGGACTCTAGCTCATTTACTAAAATAAGTCTTAAATTAAGCTCAACTTGGGCTCATTTAACTTGATCTCAAATCGCATATTTGAAATAGCTCAAGTTAACTTACACCCCTATAAACATGTGAATGCTCATAGGACTATCAACATGCTCAGAAATAAAAAAAAAAACAAATTTAAAAAGTTTATTAATACATGTAATATCATAAAGAAATAAGTGTTCTATATCTTCACAACCCACTTTTTCCAACAATCCTCACATATTTGAATTCGATAGTGACAATACTTCATGGCAACTAGATCGAATAAGCAAAAGGGAGAAGAACAAAATCATAACACAACATCCAATTTCAAGTACTTAATAAAAGAGACATTATTCATAGTACATTCTAATATATTATCAAACAAGATATGATAGTTGACAAAAAAAAAAAAAGTCAAACGACTCCTCGAGCATCTTATGCTCATAAATTAACCTTAATGCATTCTCTTAATTATATTATTTATAACGCCCTAATAAAAAAAGAGCAGTGTTATTTTTTGGAATTATGATAATAAGATAAAAAAAGAAAAATTAAAAAGTTAAAAAAAGTTACAATGGTTGGTTCATTTGTTGCATTAGTATTTTTTTTATTGTTTAAAATTAATTATATATACCCTTTAATTGCCTAACATTTCCATGCTGACGTGGCAACAAGGGGCCTATCATGCCAGCAAAGCACCATCTCCCCTTGTTGTTTCGCCACGTGGAATCCCCTGACTTGTAACCTCCTCAGTAAACACTCCGCTTGAAAGTCAGCAAATTGACTTTGCCCCACCGGCCGCAACCCGGCTCTACCAAACGCCTCCCTCCACGGCGTCACATGGCGGCCTGCCGCCCCCACCGCTGCTATTATCTTCGGGAGCAACACGCATATCTCAATCTTCCGTAACCAGTCACCAGCTCCTACTCCGATACCAACGTTCGCTGCTTCCAATGATTCTAATATCGTCGAATAAAGTTCTAAACCCTCGATCACCGACTGACGGAAGGACGACGTTCCGTCTCCCGTCAATCCTTCTCTCCGTCTACGTGAACTATTACTTGAGGAGATATTCGTCGGAGATCGTTGATGAAACCAGTGCCGATTCGTTGGAAGATCGTTGGAGTTAATAGAACAGCAGTCTTCTCTCCGTCCATGAACTTGATCGATTTAAACGAGAGGCTTTCGAAAGTTCTAACAGAGATGAAATCGATATCGAATCGTAGTTTTAGATCACGAGCGAACTGACGTAGATTATCTCTGATCAATCTCGATTCGGTTTCGTACTCTTCAGGAACAACGGCTGTGATTCTGAACGCTGGCGAGTTAACCTTCCGTGATTCCGATTTCTCGGAGATCTCTTTCATGAACGAAGCCCAATGACCGCCGATTCCGATATCAAAATCGATGACGTGGATGATCATCGCACCGTCAACCACCTCCAGGATAGCTTGATTGGCGGTGAAGCTGGAAAACATCGGGATCGGGGAGACGGCGATGAACGTCTTGTAAGCTTTAATTGTTTGTACAATTTCAGAAGAGGAAGATGACTGAGTCAATCGACTTGACCCGGAGATCAGAGACTGAATCGCTTCTTTGAAGTAGAAAGCAGCACGCTGGAGAGGTTTTCCGTTTGGAGAAGGAAGCCGCTGATTGAGCCGCGCCAATATCACCTGCGCCAGGTGGAGAGATTGAGTTTCAAAGCACTCAGCAATCCGGATTATATCATCGACGAAATCAAACCCTGTTCTATTATCAATATTATACTGGTTCGTGAAATCAAGCGAGTTAGGGTTCGTGTTCGTGTTTGGATTCTCAAAATCCGGGTTTAAGAACAGGGACATGGTCGGAGCAGTCACCTCAGATTGAATCGGCGGAAGGTCGGGGAGTTCAGGGAGGTAAGCAGATTTTGCAGAATCATCATTAAGACCTAATTCTTTCATGAGAGAATCCCATTCTTCAAACTGATTCACGATTCCATGTTCGTAATTATCCGATCGCAACGGATCCTCCGACGACGATAACACAATGCTATTATGATCACCCGAATCAAACTCCGACGTCTTACCAGGCAAACTCCGGCAAATATCAAGAACCAATTTGGGCTCGTATCTACCAGTTCCACCACCACCAACACCACCACTGATTATTTGGTGCTTTACTTCAGGAGAAGAGAGATTGTTTTGCTGTGAAGCAAAGGGCAATTTCATTCCTCAAAAGCTAATGCTACAGGTACGCAACCAAACCTTTTTTCTTTCTTCTCTCTTCTTGTTGAATTTTCAAGCTTTTGAGCGAAAAAGGAAGTGGGTTGGGGGGCTTTTGGAGTCGATGATTGTGGGGGTTTTCTAACAACGATATGCATGAAGAAAGGAGTGGTGGGGTATGGTCGGCCATGGATGATGAACAATGAGTGGAGGAAAGAGTAAGAGGATTGATTGATTTGAGCCATATCATAGAAGCTTCTTCATGAAGAAAGGAATTCATACAAATTGCACAAACTTTACACCTTTTTCTTCTTCTTTTTTTGATTCTTCAGTTTTTCCTAATATTTAACCAAATAAACATATACATTCACATTCATAAAAAAAAATTCTTTATAAAAGATTAACATAATTAGTAGACTGAACTCATAAAGCATATATGACATCATCTTTCGAGAGGTGCTCTAGGAATCACCATGTGATCAAATCTCAATATTGATAATCTACAAGCATATTTTATATTTTCTATACATCTTGTCATGTTTTTAATAAATCAAATGAACAGGAATCAATCAAAAAGAACAAATCTTTGTTGATACAACAGATTTGATCGACTTGATTATTGATAGAATGGATAAATTTGTTAATTTTCAAAATATGTGAGATCTAATGAGGATACATTCTGATTCATGGTTGGATTAATGGTCATTAAAGCCTCCTAATAAGATATACTAAACTCATCGATTTGTTACAAACTCTAAAGTATAAGAATGGTATTGATGGAATTTCTTGTTCTTATATTGGTGTTTATTCTTTTGTTTAGGGTGAATCAAAAGGTACAACTTTCTCCGTATTTTTTGTTTCATACTATACAAAAATAGCAAAGAATAAGGGCTCAAATCAACACAAAAAATGACTTTAGTAAGGATATTTTTAGCATCACATTGCATCTGTTCTTTTTCCTACTCTATCAACATTATACATTGGCACTCTCGTTTGATTGGTGCATCTTTAGAGAATGGTTAAACGCGGATGTCACGTTGTCATTTCTGTAAGGTTGTGTTTTTTACATGAGACATGAGAAGACTGAAAGACAGAAATGAACCGGACTAGATGAGACTGAACAAGTTTTATATTTATATTTTTTTCCTTTTGAGGATGAGAAGTGTTTTTACGTCTTTTGCATAAGAGCTTAGATAAATCAAATACCACATTGTTTCATCTTTTTCTTTTAGCGGACAACAAATTGCAATTTCTATCTTATTGATATCAATCACAGCCCCGATCCATGATATCAATCACAACCCCGATCCATGAACGTCTAACACAATACAAGTTTGTTTGTTCTCTCATGTCCTGCATAATAAACATGTCGTGTGTGTGTGTCTATATATATATATATATTAAAATATTTGAAATCATGTCGGATATTGTTTCTTTGAAGTGATTACTGCTGAAACTTAGAATGCATTCATGTAAAAGTAATTTGAAGTACAAAATAAAAAATGAAGAATTGTTAAGCCAACAATTCTCATACCGTAGTTTTTGCATCATATTTGAGCCTAAGAAGCATGTTCAATAGTTTACTCAAGACTGTGGTTTCTACTTAGTAATTCTCTATAGTGTAGATCTTGAGATGATGTCATTCAATAGATATTATACACGACACCATAATTTTTCAACATGGCATCGAAGATGCTTAACTTGTTAAAGTATTTAAGCCATTAACTGTACCACATGATATCCTTGCCAAAGTTGTTGAAGTTTGTTAGAGGCATGGTGGAACTTAAAGATTCTCTAATGAAATCTACTTGTCTATATAATAGTAGTCAAGTTATTAACTAATTCCACTTTTTGAGTATATAAACATAGATTTTAGGCTACATTATCGCATACACAATACACATAAGGTATTGTTGATGTCGGCATACCTGAGAACAACATACCAACTATAAGAACTTCACCATCATGATTGTTGTCACAAGCATAATTTTCTTATTGGTCTCATCTTTCTTAAAGTCGTTTCTTTTCTCTTTATTCTACAATTCATAACATTTGGAAATCTTGTGTCTATCTTTCTTGCAATACTTGCAAGACTTACATATTCCCCAGTATTTACATTAGTCGTTTTTTCTTGAGAACCCTTTTCTATTGATCGATCCTATACCATTAATCCTTCGACTTGAGAATTACGTGACCCCTTGAAAGAAACCATGTGTTTCATATCTTCCTTAGAATACAAAGCATCATAAACTCTATTTAAAGTAAGAGTTTCATAAGCAAACATAAATGATTAATACTAGATCTTCCCCGTCATATTTGATTTCAATAGTGGCTAAATTAGGAAACGACATCTTTGAAGTCAAATATATAGACAAGCAAGTTTCCTCAATATTGAAGTTTATATAAGGCCAATGTCTTTCTCCAATTGCATATTTCTTGTAAGATTATTCTTCATGCAAATCAATTCTAGTTTAAACCATACAAGCGATGACGATCTTCTATTTAAGCACTTCTTGAAGTATATTGTTGTGTAGATGAAGTACGATTTGAGCCAAAGCTTTGTGATTCTTCTACAACAACCCATCCTTTATGAAGTTGGAATTGATGGGTTTTGAGCACTACATCATTCATATGGTGTACATGCAAACCCTAAAGTTTTGGATCTAGTTTGTCTAATGAACATGCAATAATCATCCAAAGCCATAAACCCTAGATCTAGCATACAATAATCAATATTATCATAATATAGGGTTTAGATCTTACCTTTGATTGTTATGTATCAATAACAATCTATTCCTTCTTGTAATTGGCTTCTGAAAGCTTAGTGTCACAAGTGTCATACCTCTAATGGCTCACAAACATCAAGAGCAAGAAGATGACTTAGGAGAAGGGAAGGAGGCACCAAAAAACGTCCAAGAAACTCCAAGGAATGCTTAGCCACGTTTTTGGGTGCCCTAGGGGTCTTTATATAGTTAGACTATTAGGGTTTTGAACTAGGAAACCCTAATCTAACTGCTTAGGCCCTAAGAAGCCCATGGACTCCCCTCCTTAGAGGCCTTGGACGAATTCTCATGGGTTTCCCCATAGATTTCATCCACTCCAACCTCATGGAGTCCATTAGCCCAATATCCAACTATCACACAACTGACAGTTCTAGTCCCCTTTATTTAATTAATGTCTTTTAGCCACAAAATTAATTCTTATTAATTCTTGACTAATATTAATTAAACAATATGATTTCTCTTTTAATATATTATTCATATAATATATTAATAAATCATAATTAATCTCTTTCTCCATAAATCATCCTATCAAGTTGCTTTGGTGAAGGCAACCCAAAAGGACCATGCTCACAATCGGGTCAAGTACATACCAAAATAGTTATGGACTTAGACACTAATCCAACAGTCTCCCACTTGGATAAGTCTAACAACTATTCTGCGTATGACTTCAAACCTGATCAGCAATCGTAGTTTTCAAAAGCCGCTGTCAACTCTGATCTTATCAGAAGCGTGTCCTTTAGATAAGAGATCATATATTCCTCCATTCTAGATATCGTATGAACTGAGACATGGATTTAAATCATACTCTTTGTTCATGTGTTGTTTCCTGATTTCCGATTTATGACGACTGACAACAGACTGCAATTGAACAAATCAAATTAGTCCTGGCCCGGCCGAGCACTTTATGTTTGTCATCACTAAATCATCGAGGGGCCCACAAATATCGCTTTTATCCCACTTTGGGTAAAAGGAACGGATAAACTTCGACTCAATGCTCGCTTGTACTTACTCACCGAATCACACACAACAATACGTTTTATAACACCAAGTTACTGGTGCGTTTACATATTATCAATGTGTAACCGATTCGCAAGATACAACTCACACATCTCGGTTTCAAGAATATAAGATATTATCGTCTCATCAATCACTCGTGATAAAATCCATGAAGCGATCCAAGTGAGCTTGGGTTTAATCCAATGCTCAAATCATATTCATAAGCACTCATGAACGTTGTAGCAAACTTTTGCTATGTCTAATACACTTTAGACAATCTACATACCAATTCATGACAATCTTCTTTCATACCTACTCCCAAAGTATGAGCGACTGTGGGACGTTCGAATAATCTTATTATTCAGGAAGTCAAAACATGCAAAGTGAAACACAAGAATAATCGAACCCAATATGGCCCCAAACTTTTGAGTATAAATAAAACTTGACCAGTCTTTTGCTACAATATCTCTATTTGCCATGTTCTCACAATTCGAACTATGAAGAGGGATGCCGTAATCATAATCGAATTTGAGAACACAATCTTAATTTTATATGACTAAATTAGATAAAAAATCAATCCAAACTTTTAGAACTGAAATGAAGTATAAAATTCTCTCCCTTAATTATAGCAAAACAAGTTTTCAACCCTTGCAACTTTGCGAATTGAACCTTTTGTTTTCTATAATTAATATTGCTATCTCGCAATACTTACCATAATTATCATGCTCCCACTCACATGATGATTATATATTTTCCAAGCATAACACTTATGCTCCCACTAGCTTTGACACGTATTCAGAAATTAGCTGGACTTCTAGAAACCAATACTTATTAACTTTATTTACAAAAGTTCAGATTTCTGAAACCGAGACGCTTCGATAAACCTTTATCTAAGCTTCTCGAACTCATACACCTTTCCTTAGATAACCTATATGTGTGTTTAAACAATTTTAGAACTTATAACAATAAGTCTAAAATGTTCAGACCCATTTGCCATTTCCCACAATTCGAACTATGAAGAGGGATGCCGTAATCATAATCGAATTTGAGAAATGCAAATTACATAATGCTATCTTCAAAATCTCTCTTAGTGAAAGCGTTTCCTCACAATCATTTTCATGAAGGAGAGAAACCTTATGACACTCAAATTTTTGTGGTGTATGTGTTCCTATCCATGTGAATTTGTCATAACCATAATCATAAGACAATAATTGTGACAAATTCAAA